CTGTATGTAGCAGATGGAGATCTGTGAAACTCACTCCATAGCCTGAAGTGTTGCCCATTGGGCCATTGAAGAAGGCCTTTTTTGGTGGTACAATGGGTTGGAATGCTTCAGGAGGGCGTACACGTGTGTTTGCGAGGCAGAGGTCCCAAGTTCGAGCCAGGTATGAGCCGGATCGGGGGAAGTGGTACTCACTAAGCAAGCAGCATGACGTCCTTTACACACAGTTCGTTAAGACCGATTACCGCTCCCTAGTGAGTCAGGACCCTAGTGCTTCGGAACCTTACACTGGTACAAAATTCTGCAGTACTGCAACCTGCCAGGAACCTACCCTTATTTTAGTGCCATGGTGTGTGGGACCATATGGAGAAATATGTTAGCTAACCACATCCCGCTTGGTCTCGAATTTCTGTGAAGAAGGAAAACTATTCTGCAATACCAAGGCGGTTTCCTTGGCCCTACTAATTTGATTGAACGGTCTACTCTGCTGAAACTGAAAATATTAGGAACTGCAGTGCCAATCCACTAGGTGGTGCCTGTATCTCGCACATAAGGTTGCTCTGTCCAACTATTCCACCAAAGAATCAACAACTTTCCTAGGGATACAGCTTTTGTCAAATGTACTTTTCGTAGCAGGTTAGGAGAATTTACACAGCAGGTTAGGATAATTAACGTAGCAGGTTAGGATAATTAGGTTAAGGTACAGCGGTGATGCAGCCAGTCAAGATGCTCTCAATGGTGCAGCTGTATAACTTTTTGTGGATCGGAGGTCCTGGGCTGGCGTGGTTACATGTGGTTTGCGGTTGTGAGGCCGGTTGGACGTACTGCCAAATTCTCTAAAACAATGGAGGTGGCTTATGGTAGAGAAATGAACATTCAATTATCTGCCGACAACTCTGTTGAACATTCCTGCAGTCAGCATACCAATTGCCCGCTCCCTCAACTTGAGACATATGTGGCATTGTGTAGTGTGACAAAACTGCACATTTTAGAGTGGCCTTTTATTGTTCCCAGCACAAGGTGCACCTGTGTAATTATCATGCTGTTTTATCAGCCTCTTGATATGCCACACCTGTCAGGTGGATGGATTATTTTGGCAAATGAGAAATGCTCACTAACAGGGATGTAAACAAATGTGTGCACAACATTTGAGAGACATAAGCTTTTTGTGCGTATGGAACATTTCTGGAATATTTTATTTCAGCTCATGAAACATGGGACCAACACTTTACATGTTGGGTTTATATTTTTGTTCAGCATATGTCCATAGATGATATTAAAGAAAATGTGAAGTGAGGCAGAGTGATTGAGACCAAAAGGTTGATCAGTAGGAAAGAGGGTCAAAGAAGTGATAGCTTATCAGTGATGTTGAGGTTTGAGAAAGTTTTGCCTGGAAAAGTAGTTTCAATGTTAGAGAATTTGTCCCATATGCACTGCAGTGTTTTAAATGCCAAAGAACGGGACATGTAGCTGTGCAGTGTGAAGGAAAGAAAATATGTACCAAGTGTGGAGGGGAACATGATTATGGTGAATGTGGAAGCAATGTGAAGGTTAAGTGCTGTAATTATGGGGGAGAACACAGTGGATGACAGGTGCAGAGAGAGGCTAGAGAGGCTCAGAGATATAGGATCTGTCATGATGTATCATATACAGAGGCTGTAAAACAGATTGGTAGAACTACATTGCGGACTGATGGAGCTAACATGGATGTTCCTGTAGTAAGTGGACCTACTGTTGGGGTCGTGATTCTGCTGGTCCAGGCATGGTTCTGAGGCCTGTTCACAAATCTTGCGCTCATGAATGTGCGGTGTCAAAGGACACTTTGATAATGGATAAAGTTGACGTCATAGCTTTTATTGGTAAGGTTATCAATATGACTCAGGTTGTGGAAAGCAGAAATGCCAGGTTGAAGGTTATTGTGGAGACGGCCAAATATACAGTGGGGGGGAAAAGTATTTAGTCAGCCACCAATTGTGCAAGTTATCCCAGTTAAAAAGATAAGAGAGGCCTGTAATTTTCATCATAGGTACACGTCAACTATGACAGACAAATTGAGGAAAAAAATTCCAGAAAATCACACTGTAGGATTTTTTATGAATTTATTTGCAAATTATGGTGGAAAATAAGTATTTGGTCACCTACAAACAAGCAAGATTTATGTCTCTCACAGACCTGTAACTTCTTCTTTAAGAGGCTCCTCGGTCCTCCACTCGTTACCTGTATTAATGGCACCTGTTTGAACTTGTTATCAGTATAAAAGACACCTGTCCACAACCTCAAACAGTCACACTCCAAACTCCACTATGGCCAAGACCAAAGAGCTGTCAAAGGACACCAGAAACAAAATTGTAGACCTGCACCAGGCTGGGAAGACTGAATCTGCAATAGGTAAGCAGCTTGGTTTGAAGAAATCAACTGTGGGAGCAATTATTAGGAAATGGAAGACATACAAGACCACTGATAATCTCCCTCGATCTGGGGCTCCACGCAAGATCTCACCCTGTGGGGTCAAAATGATCACAAGAACGGTGAGCAAAAATCCCAGAACCACACAGGGGGACCTAGTGAATGACCTGCAGAGAGCTGGGACCAAAGTAACAAAGCCTACCATCAGTAACACACTACGCCGCCAGGGACTCAAATCCTGCAGTGCAAGACGTGTCCCCCTGCTTAAGCCAGTACATGTCCAGGCCCGTCTGAAGTTTGCTAGAGTGCATTTGGATGATCCAGAAGAGGTCATATGGTCAGATGAAACCAAAATAGAACTTTTTGGTAAAAACTCAACTCGTCGTGTTTGGAGGACAAAGAATGCTGAGTTGCATCCAAAGAACACCATACCTACTGTGAAGCATGGGGGTGGAAACATCATGCTTTGGGGCTTTTTTTCTGCAAAGGGACCAGGACGACTGATCCGTGTAAAGGAAAGAATGAATGGGGCTATATATCGTGAGATTTTGAGTGAAAACCTCCTTCTATCAGCAAGGGCATTGAAGATGAAACGTGGCTGGGTCTTTCAGCATGACAATGATCCCAAAAACACCGCCCGGGCAACGAAGGAGTGGCTTCGTAAGAAGCATTTCAAGGTCCTGGAGTGGCCTAGCCAGTCTCCACATCTCAACCCCATAGAAAATCTTTGGAGGGAGTTGAAAGTCTGTGTTGCCCAGTGACAGCCCCAAAACATAACTGCTCTAGAGGAGATCTGCATGGAGGAATGGGCCAAAATACCAGCAACAGTGTGTGAAAACCTTGTGAAGACTTACAGAAAACGTTTGACCTGTGTCATTGCCAACAAAGGGTATATAACAAAGTATTGAGAAACTTTTGTTATTGACCAAATACTTATTTTCCACCATCATTTGCAAATAAATTCATTAAAAATCCTACAATGTGATTTTCTGGATTTTTTTTTCTAATTTTGTCTGTCATAGTTGACGTGTACCTATGATGAAAATTACAGGCCTCTCTCATCTTTTTAAGTGGGAGAACTTGCACAATTGGTGGCTGACTAAATACTTTTTTCCCCCACTGTATATAATATTATAATATATGATATACTTTTTTTTATTCAGATTTTTCAGGGGGTGCTGCAGCATCCTCAGCACCCGTACTTCCCGTGGTATGGTTGAAATGGTTGTTGACATGCTGAACAATCCTAATGGTGGAGTGTTTCAGCATGATATAGATCAAGTTTAATTGGGTTGGGGGATTTGGGGCGGGAGAGAGGAAGCGAGACGGTGGATGGTGGTTGGAAGAGCGCGCTTGTTTGAAATGGAAAAGGTTGTGGTAGCTATTGATAAAGAAGAAACATCAGCTGCTTTACAAGTGGGATACACTGTTAAGCTCTACATCCCGAGGGGTTCGTGCTGATTGTACGGAGATTGTGACAGACGGTTAAATGGCGTCCCTTCAGAAAGCAAGAACAAGATGTATGTCAGGAGAAGTGCAGTATTGTCATAAGGAGACGTATACTTGGAATACGTAGGAGGAATGGAGGGGAAAAGAGCAGCAGAGGAGGTCTAAGAGAGAGAAGGAGGAAGAGGGTGATCTTGGGTCAGTTCAAAATGGCGGAAGAAAAGGAGATGGTTTGTTAAAGAAGAATGGTAGAAAGTGTAAGCAGAGTGAGCTGAAGACAGGAGGAGAAATGGAAGTTAATGAGGGCTTAGTATCAGAGGTGGTAGGTATGGTGAAGTTCTCAGAACCCAAGGCTTGCACCTAGGGTCAGGATAAAGATGAGTCTTTGACAGTAGGAGTGAAGTTTGTGGAAAAAGTGGACCCTTGCCTTTTGGCTGATCCATTTGTGGTTTCAGGGTGGGTGAAAACAGAGTTGGGTGCTGTGGAATCGGTGAGGGTAACCAGAAGTGGTGTGATAATTTGTTTGTGTTTCTGCTGGTCAGAGGGAGCAGGCGCTCCCGTTAAACGGGGGCAAGAGATGTGAATTGTTTTGCCCTCAAGAAAAGGGCGCCGAGAAGCCATTGAAAGGAGTGATTACTGGGGTAGCGGTAAATGTGAAAGTTGACCAACTGAAGGGGAAGATTCCCGGTGTTTGTGATGCTCGTCGTTTGGTGCGACGCAGACATGGTGGCGTGAGTGGTGAAACAGAAGAGTCGTTGTCTGTTCTTTTGAGTTTTGATGTTGAGTCTTTGCCCGACAAAGTGATGTTAGTTATCCTGTACGAGCTTTTGTGCTGAGTGTAGTGTTAAATGTTAGGGTATTTGTTTATTTTATTTTTTTAAGCAAAGTATAAGGGAGTTATACTCTAGTGTAGTAGGTGGCAGTAAGGCTAAATTTGTTGGCTGCCAACTGTCGTTAAACCTAACCGAAGAAGAAGAATTGGGTTTGGGAGGGTGTGGTAGAAGATAGTAGTGATTTATTTGGTTTTTAATTTGCATGGCAGTTCAGAAATGGGCAGATAATGATTTATCGTACATTCCAGCACAGTAGGTGGCGGCATGCACTTTACACGTTTGTTTTCAGACCGCCATCATATCATAGAAGAAGAAGTTCATTTCCTCCACATTCTTGCTGGTTTGTGCATCATGATGGCTGCCGCCTTGAGAGGGAGTCTTGTAACATTGGCCAAGGTGAGTCGGTAGATGATGTTTACAGCCATCAAATTGTGGACAAAGTGTTTCGTGTAACGTAAAACTTTTCGCCGTTGGTATTGGTTACTACCATTGCTTTGTTAGAAACTCCTTGATATGTATTCCTCTAACGTTAGTTACCAATGGAAACGTTAATGCGATAGGATAATGTCGACAGCTGGCTAGCTCCTAAGACTGGCAGTACAGCCAGCTAACTAGCTGTCAAAGCTATGATACGGCTACCTACCTAGCTAACTAAGATAACTAGCCAGGTTGAAATTGAATGGTTGTCACATTCCATTGAATGTTGTCACGAACGTTAACCAGCAATCTAACGACGTATCAATGAACACATGCTAACGGATTGATGTCCCATGGTTATCAGCTTCAGACCACAGCATCAGTTATGCTGGGCATATACACTACACGACTTCTAACATTCGATTAACTTGAACGTGCTCACATTTCCCAATTTCCCTGTCCAAAATATTTCATTCCGTCCATCCTCAAACCCAGGACGTGGGTGCTCACATTACACGACGATTACTCCCTAGTTAATCTTGCCCTGCGTTTCTCAGTTGTCATAGAAAATAAATGCCGATACGCAAGCAGTGAGATGCTTTTATTAGTGTGCGCATTATTATGTGCAGAAACATTTTAAAAAAGAGACTGAGGCGCAGAATATGGACTTAATTTCATATTATCATTATTATTTCATATATTTTTGGTGGAGTTCGTTTTGCATGGCCCATGCCCTGGGTGAGTGGAGGTTACACTTATGGACCAATGGAATGGTCTAAAATGAGTAAACTCCTCTCATTCGTGGCACCGGCCATGTGAAATGAACTCGCCCATTGAAAAGGCAGCGGCGTTCTCTCCACTTCTCCACCAATTTGTTTTACATCACCTCGGTCCACACCGTGCATGTTGTCGCTGTCCTCTAAGCTGGCAATGAGCTGAGTGCTCAATGTCTATTGGCAGCAGTCCTTGCCCAATCGCGTCGTAGCACTGCTGATACTACAAGATGCATTACCAAAAAAAAATTTTTTTTGGGGGGGGGGGGGTGGATCAGCTTAATATTGCAGATAGATTGTATCTTCTATCAATGTAATTGTCTGCATCACTTCCAATCCCCCATGTTTTTTTATATATATACTCCCCTTTATTACTTTTCAACCCCGCCATCCTTTCCCTACTTGGAGTAAATTAGTGAACAACAATGCCCAGGCCTCTACTTCCGGTCTATACTTACTATCTACACCTTATGGACACAGTTAATTTTACAATAATTCTATTATGTATATATATATTTTTTTTTTTTGCTCCTGAACTACTTCTACTCTCAACCTCTCCGATTATTTTCATGATGTCCATCCGGTTTGCTTCTATATGCCATATCTTTCTAACTGCTTGTTCAGTGTACTTCCAGTCTTTGCCTGCCCTTGAACGGTCTTAAGTATTTAGAAAAGTTGATTATTGTTAGCTCGCCTAAAGCACCAGTCAAAAGTTTGGACACGCCTACTCATTCAAGGGTTTTTCTTAATTTTTACAATTTTCTACATTGTAGAACAATAGTGAAGACATCAAAACTATGAAATAACACATGGAATAATGTAGTAACCAAAAAAGCGTTAAACAAATCAAAATATATTTTATATTTGAGATTCTTCAAATAGCTATCCTTGACGACAGCTTTGCACACTCTTGGCATTCTCTCAACCAGTTTCACCTGGAATGCTTTTCCAACAGTCTTGAAGGAGTTCCCACATATGCTGCGCACTTGTTGGCTGCTTTTCCTTCACTCTGCCGTTCGACTCATCCCAAACCATCTCAATTGGGTTGAGGTCGGGGGATTATGGGAGGCCAGGTCATCTGATGCAGCACTCCATCACTCTCCTTCTTGGTAAAATAACCCTTACACAGCCTGGAGGTGTGTTGGGTCATTGTCCTGTTGAAAAACAAAGGCCACTAAGCCCAGACCAGATGGGATGGCGTATCGCTGCAGAATGCTGTGGTAGCCATGCTGGTTGTGTGCCTTGAATTCTAAATAAATCACAGTGTCACCAGCAAAGAACCCCCACACCATAACACCACCTCCTCCATGCTTTACAGTGGGAAATACACATGCGGAGATCATCCGTTCACCCACACCGCGTCTCACAAAGACACGGTGGTTGTAACGAAAAATCTCAAATTTGAACTCCAGACCAAAGGACACATTTCCACCTGTCTAATGTCCATTACTCGTGTTTCTTGCTCGTGTTTCTTGGCCCAAGCAGGTCTCTTCTTATTGGTGTCCTTTAGTAGTGGTTTCTTTGCAGCAATTCAACCATGAAGGCCTGATTCACACAGTCTCCTCTGAACAGTTGATGTTGAGATGTGTCTGTGACTTGAACTCTGTGAAGCATTTATTTGGGCTGCAATTTCTGAAGCTGGTAACTCTAATGAACCTATCCTCTGTAGCAGAGGTAACTCTGGGTCTTCCATTACTGTGACGGTCATCATGAGTGCCAGTTTCATCATAGTGCTTGATTGTTTTTGCGACTGCACTTGAAACTTTCAAAGTTCTTAAAATGTTGACTGACCTTCATGTCTTAAAGTAATGATGGACTTTCGTTTCTCTTTGCTTATTTGAGCTGTTCTTGCCATAATATGGACTTGTTCTTTTACCAAATAGTGATATCTTCTGTATACCTCCCCTACCTTGTCACAACACAACTGATTGTCTCAAACGCATTAAGAAGGAAAGAAATTCCACAAATTAACTTTTAAGAAGGCACACCTGTTAATTGAAATGCATTCCAGCTGACTACCTCATGTAGCTGGTTGAGAGAATGCCAAGAGTGTGCAAAGCTGTTATCAAGGCAAAGGGTGGATATTTGAAGAATCTCAAATATTAAATATATTTTGATTTGTTTAACACTTTCTTTTGGTTACTACATGATTCCATATGTGTTATTTCATAGTTTTGATGTCTTCACTATTATTCTTCAATGTAAAAAATAAAGAAAAACCCTTGAATGAGTAGGTGTGTCCAAACATTTGACTGGTAGTGTATATGACCTTTCAACTTGCCAGAGACCAGCTGGGGAGACAACCCTACCAAATGTCCCAAAGTAGCCTATGGCGATATCTACACCTACTTGGTGGAATCTCCAGTTTTGCATAAATATCCAAATGCAGAAGAACATTATAGCTGTTCTTTGGACGGATACAGCTCACTAGTCCTTACTACAAGCTAACTAGCAAACTTTATGCAATACACATACTGTAGCTAGTTAGATACAAACAAGTGTTAGCGACTTACCGGTGATGAAGTGCTTCGAACACACAAATGTATGGAGTAATCGGAGCCCACAGCTTTCCATCATCGAGACATAATAGCCTGAAACCATGAGGTTTGTTAAACATGGTCCTTGGCTGTTGATTAAACTTAATTTGGTGGTCTATTTCTCCTGCTGTTGTTCAAACAAAACTGTACGCAAAAGCTTTTTGTCATTTTAAAAGCAGGGTTAACTAGCTAGTTAAGAAAGTCCTTTGGAATCGTCTCTTTGGCTGATAATCGTGATGTACATTCCATGCGAAAGTATCTGTTCATGCTAACATTTTAACATTCAGAATGAAAGTGTTTTTAGGTATGATGTAGTTTGTTGATTAAGACGACATGAAAGTATGTTGAAAATGACTGACCAAGCATATCCCAAATATTTATAGAAGGCTTAAAAAAAGAATACAGCCACTGGCAGATGAGACACATTAGCTATAACGAGGACCAGACCATCTGATTATGCTTACTTTCTACAGTAGACCTAATTCACTATTGTGTCCTGGTCTAGGGCCTTACTGGCACTGGTCCGCAGTGGCAGCAGCTGGCTGCCCGGTCCCTCAGTATGACCGCCAGTCTGGGTGGGCCTGAGGCACCTCCGGCTCGCGCCGACGCCACATTCAAGGTCACCATGGTGCCCGGGGACGGAGTAGGACCTGAACTGATGACTGCCGTCAAGGAGGTGTTCAAGGTATGTACATTATGGTGGCTCCACTTTCTCAATGCTGACCTGGAGTGACAATGTGACTGAGTGTGGATGTCTGGTCCCTATGTTGACATATAGCTAACTAACTCATCGCCTCCGGGTATCCTATTACTTAGGCATCAACCCCAATACATACATTATGTGGCCCATGTGGGAATTGAATTCACTATTGCCGGCACTATGCGCCAAGCATGCTCTGAGCTCAATCCAATACTTTGTGTTCATTGATAACTGAATATGCAAGACTCATTCATAAAGTTTATAGTCCATTCATTCGCTAACTCCTTTATTCATTCATCCATCCATCCTCGACATGTCCGTCCTGTTTCTTATCTCCTTGGTTCTACCCTTAACCCTGCCTTTCTCTTTCCTTCCCTCCATCCCCCTCCAGGCGGGTGACGTCCCAGTGGAGTTTGAGGAGTTCCACCTAAGTGAGGTGCAGCACATGGACAGCGACGAGAAGCTGGAACAGGTGTTGGCCTCCATGAAGACCAACAGGGTGGCCATGAAAGGTAACTAACTTCCTTGTCTCCAAAAGCGATCTGTTGAAGTCGATAAATGACAAACTAGGCATACTAGAATTAGTCAGTAAGGATGTAAAGGAGTTGAAGGCGAGCCTTGAAATGAGTGACGAAAAAGCTGCGATAATGGAGAAAGATACAAAAAAGCTAAACGGGACAGTCACTAAGATAGAAACGGATGTTAATGAACTTAAAAAGGAGAACAACTTTCTGAGAGAAGTCTTACTAGACAAAGACTAGATCTATGAGAGAATCTAGTATTTACGGGTATCCAAGAAAAAGGAGAGGATCCCGAGAAAATAGTGAAGGACTTCTTTCTTACAGCTCTTCAAATCCCACTCGATGCTGTCGATAAAATCCAACTCGAACGTGTACACCGTTTCGGACAATCGTTGCCAAATTTGCTTTCTTTAAGGATAAAGTAATGTTTAAAATCTTAGGTAAAAACTTGCTGGCACCAAAATAGGCATGAATGATCAGTTCCCGAGGGAGATTGGGTACAGAACTTTGCACCGTTCTGCAATCTTTAGATGAAAAGGGAAGCATACTATAAAACACATTTATAGTATTTTGTAAATGGATAAGACGGCATTAGAAGAAAGGATAACTAGCAAAATAATACATCTTCATATAACTAATTAGAACACAAAAGTACTCAATCAACATAGTGGAGATAAAAACATAGCAAACAGAAGACCGAATGTGGATGTATTGGTGGTGTGCGTTTTTATGCTTGGAAAAGTGTGGCGTTAAATGAGTGAGAAGAAAAGAAATGGTTGCATATCCCAGAACCAATGTGTGTCTGTGAGCAGGGGTTGTGAAAGAGACCTTTAAATTTTATGCAGATGAGGGATATACATTTTAAAATAAAGTATACATCTAATTTATTGTCCTATCATGATGGAACAGTCCCCAACCCTTTACCCTAGACACCCACCTGAGCGACCCATACAGCAAAGCGAAGTCCCCATCTGTTTTATGGCCCTGCTGTAAACTGCCTATATGCAGCCAAAACAGAAAGATAAATGCGGTCAGAGACCTACTTGAGCAGCACCGTCCCCTCAAGATTCTGAGCCTGCCTGGCAGGGTTGGTCCTACAAAGCCAGTGCCCCCTGATGGGAGAGCATAATATACAAGGAAATTCTCAAAGCCGCTAATGAGAACTTTGACGACCTTGTACCTAGCTGGTGGGGATTCGGGTGGGGTACCCCCACCCAGGTAGTGGCAGTGCTGGCAACACGGACAATCAGAGAGGGGGCATATTATTGTGGCACAAAATAATCAAAGGTCTGACTGCACAGTGATGCTTGGGAAAATGGTTACAACGGGGGACCAGAGTATGTGTGTGTGTTTCAGGGGAAGGGGGTGGATCTGATCTCCATCACCTAGGACTTGACATAGGTTAATCAAATCTCAATTTTTGCTCGATCTTGCATGATTTCTCAAACAGCTGTAATTCGTAAATCAGGTCCTTTCTTGAGTTGGGCTCTGGGATGTAACAACCGTTGAGCATCTGAGCTTATGGTTGATTGTGGAGGAAAGGGGTTGAGTGTGTAAGAGTGTGTGTGTATGTATCCCAGATCTGTTGCAAGGGGGTAAGGATGTTAGGGAGAATATAGGATGAACCACAATTGTTTGCTAAAATAATAATTGTTTGACAAAAATGTAATGCAATGACAATCCTGGTTATAGGTAACAATCCTTTGCATGAACTGCTGACATTATAATACATTTTAATTGATAATGATTGAAATTTAAGATATGCAAGATATTTGAGTAGATAAATATTTTTAATAGCTATATATAAAGCAAATTGAGGTGAGAGCATTGGAAAGGCTTTTGGCGGATGACCTGCTTCTGTTTTGTGGGTGGCACTGTGTGCTGTTTTCAAAGGATGGGTCCTGGCCTCTCGGGGGGCCTAGGGATCCGGGGGGACGGGGGTAGTATGCCGATCACTGGGATGACAACCCAATTTAGGATGGAGAGGGGCTTTAGCGGGGGGAATAGTGGAGAACAATTGGAGGGTTACTTAGTAGCAATGCAAATATCATGGTACAGCTATATGGACACTCAATCACTATGTTACTTTTTAATGGTAAATTTACAAACAAATAGATTATTATGATAAATAGATTTGAAACTTGTATCTCATTATGGTAAGTGGTGAAATAAGTATAGCCAGTTATAATTGTAATGGCTTAGCAGATAATAAGAAAATAATAACTATTTACCTGACTCAAAGAGAAGGAATATAATATTTATTTACAGGAAACTCATTCAACAATTCTAGATGAAGTTGTGTGGAAAAAGAACTGGGGGGATGAAATATACTTCTCCCATTGGCAAAGGAACTCAAAAGGGTGATGATATTAAGTCATTTTGATCCGAATGTGCAAATTGTCCAAACAGATCCGCAAGGTAGATGGATGATTTTAAATATGTTATTGGACCATAAACAGATATGGCTAATTTAACCTTTACGGACCAAATAATTATGATCCACGCTTCTTTGAAAATATATATAATAAATGATCAACCCTGCAAGCAATACAAGACTATATTATTATGGTGGGAGACTATAATACTGTTTTAAATAGCTCAATGGACCGTAAAGGAAATCACACCACAAACTATCACCCTCATGCTCTTAAAGAAATCATGAATGTCATGGATACATTAGAACTAGTGGATATATGGAGGCTTAAATATCCTGGCCTAGTGAGATATACAAGGCGGAGACTCAATCAAGCTAGTCATCTTGACTTCTTTCTTACAGTTGAAGTCGAATGTTTACATACACCTTAGCCAAATACATTTAAACTCAGTTTTTCACAATTCCTGACATTTAATCCTAGTAAAAATTCCCTGTCTTAGGTCAGTTAGGATCACCACTTTATTTTAAGAATGTGAAATGTCAGAATAATAGTAGAGTGGTTTATTTCGGCTTTTATTTATTTCATCACATTCCCAGTGGGTCAGAAGTTTATATACACTCAATTAGTATTTGGTAGCATTGCCTTTAAATTGTTTAACTTGGGTCAAACGTTTCGGGTAGCCTTCCACAAGCTTCCCACAATAAGTTGGGTGGAACCGAGTCAGGTTTTTAGGCCTCCTTGCTCGCATACGCGTTTTTAGTTCTGCCCACAAATTTTCTATAGGATTGAGGTCAGGGCTTTGTGTTGGCCACTCCAATACCTTTACTTTGTTGTCCTTAAGCCATTTTGCCACAACTTTGGAAGCATGCTTGGGGTCATTGTCCATTTGGAAGACCCATTTGCGACCAAGCTTTAACTGCCTGACTGATGTCTTGAGATGTTGCTTCAATATATCCACATAATATCCGGCAGGGATGTAGCTCAGTTGATAGAGCATGGCGTTTGCAACGCCAGGGTTGTGGGTTCGATTCCCACGGGGGGCCAGTATAAAAAAAATATCTAATCACTAACTGTAAGTCGCTCTGGATAAGAGCGTCTGCTAAATGACTAAAATGTAAATGTAAATAATCTTTCTTCCTCATGATGCCATCTATTTTGTGAAGTGCACCAGAACCTCCTGCAGCAAAGCACCCCCACAGCATGATGCTGCCACACCCGTGCTTCACGGTTGGGATGGTGTTCTTCGGCTTGCAAGCCTTCCCCTTTTTCCTCCAAACATAACGATGGTCATTATTGCCAAACTGTTCTATTTTTGTTTCATCCGACCAGAGGACATTTCTCCAAAAAGTACGATCTTTGTCCCCATGTGCAGTTGCAAACCGTAGTCTGGCTTTTTTATGGCGGTTTTGGAGCAGTGGCTTCTTCCTTGCTGAGCGGACTTTCAGGTTATGTTGATATAGGACTCGTTTTACTGTGGATATAGATACTTTTGTACCTGTTTCCTCCAGCATCTTCACAGGGTCCTTTGCCGTTGTTCTGGGATTGATTTGCACTTTTTGCACCAAAGTACATTCATCTCTAGGAGACAGAATGCGTCTCCTTCCTGAGCGGTATGACGGCTGCGTGGTCCTATGGTGTTTATACTTGCGTACTATTGTTTGTACAGATGAACGTGGTACCTTCAGGCGTTTGGAAATTGCTGATTTCTTTTGATTTTCCCATGATGTCAAGCAAAGAGGCACTGAGTTTGAAGGTAGGCCTTGAAATACATCCACAGGTACACCTCCAATTGACTCAAATTATGTCAATTAGCCTATCAGAAGCTTCTAAAGCCATGACATCATTTTCTGGAATTTTCCAAGCTGTTTAAAGGCACAGTCAATTTAGTGTATGTAAACTTCTGACCCACTGGAATTGTGATACAGTGTATTATAAGTGAAATAATCTGTCTGTAAACAATTGTTGGAACAATTACTTGTGTCATGCACAAAGTAGATGTCCTAACCTACTTGCCAAAACTATAGTTTGTAGAAATGTGTGTAGTGGTTGAAAAACGAGTTTTAATGACTCCAACCTAAGTGTATGTAAACTTCCGACTTCAACTGTATGTCATTCTCGTTGGCACCAAAAGTTTAAAAAGTGTTGATAGGGGACAGAATGCGGTTGGACCATCATATAATTGGCATATACATTACTCTTACTGAATTTCCACGTGGGCGAGGATAATGGAAATTACATCATGATGATAACTTGTTTTTAACTAGGACAGAGGAATTTATAACTGAATTTTCCCACATAACATAGGGACAGCAAATCCCCTTTTTGTATGGGACACTTTTAAATGTGCATTTAGAGGCCATGCAATTCAGTACTCATCTCGAAATCAAAAGCAATTTAGGTCAAAAGAGTCCGTACTAACAAAGGAAATAGAAGGTCTAACAGAACAGATAGATAGCAATAAAAACTGTAACGTAGGAGTGAAACGAGGTTGTCCACTATCGGCATATCTATTTATTATGACCATCGAAATGTTAGCTATTAAAATCAGATCCAACAATAATATCAAGGGATTAGAAATCCAGGGCTTAAACAAAGGTGTCATTGTACGCTGATGATTCATGTTTTCTTTTAAATTCATAACTTGAATCCCTCCACAGCCTCAGAGGATCTAGATACCTGTTTTAACCTCTCTGGATTACAACCAAATTAAGACAAATGTACTATATTACGTATTGGATCATAAAAAAATACAATTTTTACATTACCGTGTAGTTTACCAATAAAATGGTCTGATTTTTTTATGTGGATATACTCAGAATATATATCCCAAAATAAATAATAATAATATTTATTTATTTGCAAAAAAAAACATATGGGGGTTTGGAAGTGATGCATACAATTACATTGATGGAAGTTACAATCTATCTGCAGTATTAAAGCTGATCTACCCCTTAAAAATAAAAATTCCTTGTCTCCTCTGCGGGGGATTTGCTTCCGCTTGTCCGCTTTCATCACATCAGTGTGTTCTGACCGAGTTTTCTTTTCTCTGTGTGCAGGAAAGATTAACACCCCCATGGAGTTCAAAGGGGAGCTGGCTGGCTTTGAGATGAAAATTAGGTAAGGCCATATTAGATCTAGCACCAGCATGAATCCAACAAAATCAATTCATTTTGTAAGGTTATGAGAACTCGTAGTGTCTGGCTGGCTGTTCTCATTAGTGAACCTCTTCCTCCTGTGTCTGCTCAGGCGTAGGCTGGACCTGTTTGCAAATGTGGTCCACGTAAACAGCCTGCCCGGCTATAGCACCCGCCACAACAACCTGGACCTGGTCATCATCCGGGAGCAGACGGAGGGAGAGTACAGCTCTCTGGAGCACGAGGTACATCACCACACACTGCCATTTAACCAACCAACGAGTGTGTTCGTTTCAGCTTGCCTAGGGTGTTAGGTGGGTGGAGTTAGCCCATTTTTAAGACAATTTAATTGGTCCTAGAGATAAGTCTTACCATGTTTTTGATTAGTTTGTTGTATGGCTAAAACACATTGAAATCATCTATCACAACCAGTGTTGGTGTAACGCGTCTCAAAAGTAATGCGTTACAGTAATTACTTTTATGAGTAACGGCGTAATATAATGCGTTACTTTTCAAATTTGAGTTATTATATTAGTTACTTTTTCAAATAACGCACACACTACTTTTTTCCATTAAAACTGTAAAGTTTAATAAAATTCCACATGAATTCACAATGCTGCTGGCGGCACCGGTTTGGGTCTCAAAGTGCGTCCCTTTCAGACGGTTAAGCATTGCACCTGTACTACCATTGCTGTACCTCAATTCCACCTCGCAAAGTTTGCATTTCCTTCTCATTTAACTTTTAAAAGTACCATTTAACTTTCTCTACCATTTTTCCAGCTGTTAACGATGATGACATGGTGGTGGAGAGTAGATTCCAAAATAATTGGTTCCTCGACTCCTTGCACTTTGACTCCCCGTATCGACTCCCATTTCTGAGTGTTAAGATTCGATTCCGCAAAGAATCGACTCCTAAGATTCAGTATTTTTGCAACGGAGGAGACTGATTAGTTGACGTACTTCCGAGAATAACAAAACACTCGCATCTTTCATAGCGAGCTGGAGAGGGGAGGGGCACAGGCAGGTCGGCCACCAGGCAGCCAGTCAGAACCGTGCACTAAACCTATCTATCGGCAATCCAAAGCTGTGTCTCAATGGAATGCTGTACCTAGGCAATTTTTGGCCTCACAACTTCAGTAAAGCAGGGCCTATCATCAATGGATAGGCTAGGATATTGAGATGAGCGAGATGCAACACTTCGCTCTCACACAGTATCTGTGCACGGGTTTGCGTCACGCTGTTTACAGTGTGGTAGCCAGGGCACCAAAACAGAAAATAAAAAAATCGGTTAGGGATTTATCTTAACATTTTAAGGATCCCAATTTAATTTAAGCGTTCACACCCCTAAAAGCCAATTAATGCCTGATCTGAAAATGTGGGTGGAGGCTTCATATGGAGGGTTTGACACAATTGCAGAGCCTCCGGAGGCATGTTGAGGCCAAATCAAGCTCCCGTCCGCATCGCCGTGTGCCTGTGTACACTGGGCAGAACATGACCACAGAAGCACTCCAACATCATGGTCAAACCATGGTCAGATGGAAGTGTGTCCTGGTCTGAACTCTGTGCTCTCTGTCTCTCAGAGTGTGCCTGGAGTGATTGAATGTCTGAAGATCATCACTAGAGAGAAGTCTCGGCGCATCGCCAAGTTTGCCTTCGACTACGCCACCAAGAAGGGTCGCAGCAAGGTCACGGCGGTCCACAAGGCCAACATCATGTGAGTCTCGCTGCCAAAAAAGTAACCTATTTTTAAATGCTTCTACACATCTATCCAACTACAGACAACCTAACTGTTTATGCAGGGCTCGACGTTAACACTTGCCCTCTTGTCCGGGACAAGTAAAAAAAAAAACTTGTGGGGCAAGCAGAATATAGATTGAAGTTGTTTGAATGGACAAGTAACACAATCACACATCACTATCAAACAATTACTCTGATCAGAATTGGATTAGTTTCCTCTGGATGCGATGTGTTGCACACTGTTCTCCCAATCTCTGCAAAGCGCATCATGAGTAGTATTCTTGAATTGCATTGAGGTATTAGGGTTTTTTAATCACCTGCGGTCGAGAGATGCGCTTTTGAGATCAAAGCCAGAGCCGGGTTGTTGATATTACTTGCTAGTTAGTGAGTTATTTGCCCAGTTGTAGCTACTTTTTGGTCAGCAAACAGGGTTTGTACAGTCGTGTACCGTTGCTCCAGTAGAGAGACATTGCAGCAGCAGGTAGGCTAGCCTATAAAATAAATAATGATAGAGAACAGACTAACTAGATAATATAGTCTAGTTTGGCTAGTTATCTTGGTAGTGAACTAGGGCGGCAGGTAGCCTAGTGGTTAGCGCGTTGGGCCAGGAGCCGAAAGGTCACTGGTTCGAATACCCGAGCAGACAAGGTGAATAATCTGTCGACGTGCCCTTGAGCAAGGCATTGAACCCTAATTTGCTCCAGGGGCACCCTACTACTATAGCTGACCCTATAAAACTATGCATTTCACTGCACCTATCCGGTGTATGTGACAATAAAAAAAATGTAAACATCTATTTAGCTATTAGCATGTATAAATGTCCTGTATCGGCCCTGTCCCTGTTTCGTTGCCCGCTCTCACTCCCTCTCCCCACTTTGAAGGGAGAGATGAATTCTGATAAGTGCAAGCATACAACGGTTGAGCAAGATTCCATCAAATAATTGCAACAAAAACCATTTTTTTTAGCTACTGTTAGAGAGGAGTCTCCGCTTGTCTTGAGTAAAAAAAAAAAAGTATGAGTATGTCATTATGATGCGCAGGCAGAACGGAGCGGAGCACGCCATTTGCGGTGAATACATCAAGTAGCCTATTAGGCCTACCGATGGAAAGTTTTTGTTGGACATTGAATTTACTCTTAGATCAATTACATTGCTATCTAGCAGCAATATATTTACGGTTAGCAATCTATCTAATGTGTTTTGAATTCCCACTTCCTCAGGTGGTGAATTATGTAGCATATAGCCTAGGCCAATATGCACCAAAAAAAAAGATGCAGGGAAATTAATCTCTTAAGAGCCAAAAAGAAATCTGCTCATTCTGTATCCTATTTTGACATGTTGCACATCAAAATATTCAACATGCATTCCCTGAACATGGTACATGAAATGGCTAACATCTTTCATGTCTTACTTGGCACTGGAAAAAGTCAGCCTAGAGCCCTGCCGCTAATGGAAAGCAACTGTGCATAAAAAAAATATTTATTGAGAAAAATGGGTCATTAGTGTGATTTAGTTTTTGTCCTGATTCTCTGTATGGTGATAATAATGATCATAATAAATGTTATTTTGTAAAGTAGTTCCTTGCATCATACAACACAATTTTCAGCCACCTTTTTGGCCTATGGTGTTAGACCTTTTTTGTGTGTGTGTGTGTGTTGCGAAGTGACTGGAGCTTTCAGACATAAAAAATCAGTCCTACTTGCCTGAATGACAAAAACAATGTCAAGCCCTGCTAAGGGTGGTGGACGTAGTTGGTCCCGAATCAACACGTAGAATCAGAAACACAAACGCACACACACAGTGTTTCTCAAATGGGAGGCGTAGCTGTTTTAAAAAATATAACATTTCAATGGCCTTATGTACGTTACAGCCCAAGCAACTTGGGGACCATTGCACTGACATTCTACATCTGATTTTGTCTCCATCTGCCTTTCTACAGGAAGCTTGCAGATGGCCTGTTCCTACAGTGCTGTGCCGAGGTGGCAGAACTGTATCCCAAGATCAAATACGAGAACATCATCATAGACAACTGTTGCATGCAGGTATGCCTCGCTCTCTCGCGCTCTTGCTCTCTCACAAATATGCACCCTCTCTCTCACGCTGCTTCTCTCTCTCTGTAGCTGGTCCAGAACCCATACCAGTTTGACGTGCTGGTGATGCCCAACCTCTATGGCAACATCATTGACAACCTGGCCGCTGGGCTGGTCGGTGGGGCAGGAGTGGTGCCAGGAGAGAGCTACAGCGCCGAGTACGCCGTGTTTGAGACCGTGAGTGTCTTGTCTGCCTGAGATCCATCTTAACCAGTCAGCTGCAATCATACACTCGTTACATTAGACCTTCAACCATCAGTATAGTGCCACAATAAGCATGTGGAAAATAGCCTGAAAATAAACATTTCCTCTCCTTCTCAGGGAGCGCGGCACCCCTTTGCCCAGGCTGTAGGCAGGAACATTGCCAACCCCACGGCCATGTTGCTCAGCGCTGCCAACATGCTCCATCACCTCAAGTGAGTGGGCACTGCTTCCAATGAGATGTGTATGTGCGCGCCCACTAATCTCAACTGACTGTGTTTTGTGTTACAGTCTGGAATACCACTCCAACATGGTGTCAGATGCTGTCAGGAAGGTCATCAAACAGGGCAAGGTAAGAGTGTGTGTGTGTTTTTAACTATTGTATCAACATCCTGTTAAATCTTATTGGTTTGTGTGCATGTACGTGTGTGTGTGTGTGTGTGTGTGTGTGTTGGGGAGTGAGTGTTTGTCTAAACACATACAGTGTATGACTAATTCTAAAGTTGAAGGGTTAAGAACAGTGTTTTTGCAACATAACGTATTTGTCCATGCATTTTGTGGGTCAATTCTAAAAAGACTTTTATGGATGAAAAGTGTAAAAACAAAATACTCTGATCCAAAAATCAATTCATGACCCATTGCATTTAGCTATGAAAATACACCTAACGATCAATAACCCATATCCATGTGTGTGAGAGAGCCTTTTGATTATGCATGTCGACGTGGGTGGCATCTTATACACCCCTCTGTGTGTGTCCTGCTAAACATTGTCCTTGTTCTCAGCTGGCATAGTGAGGTGAAGGAACACAGCTCTGTAACCATAGAAACTGACTGGTAACAAAGACCTACTAACTTTAGTGTGCATCCCAGCCCTTATTAGCACTAATAGCAGCAGCACTAACCCTAACTAATACCATGGTTCTTAAGCAGGCACATGGTCAACACACCATTGTGCGAAGGTATGACTCTGTCATGTCAGCCATGACACCGAAAGTTTCTGGGAATAATTTCTATTCACTGATTGAGGACAGGTTATCTGAATGTGTGAAGTATGGTGTTTGTCAATCCACTAGTGTCTGAAATACCCTCCCCCTTTCCATCTCCTTTGCTCGTCCTCTTCCCCTGCACCCTGTCCCTGCGTGTGTGTGTCCCAGGTGCGGACGCGAGACCTGGGCGGTTACAGCACAACCGGGGACTTTGTGCAAGCCGTTGTGGGGAACCTCCGCCACCGACCCATGTACTAAAGAAGTCCCGATCCCCTGAACACCCCACCCTGCCCTTTACCGTAAACTGGACGGACAACCAAATAAAATCTGGATATATTGAACCCCATATCGCCATATCCCCTAATAACTTTGCCCCACTAACTATTTTGCTCACTTTCCCACTAAACTAACACTCCTTACGTCACTCTTGGCAGCTCTCTCTTCTCCTCCGCTTTCTTTTCATATTCCTCTTTCCTCGTAAAGCGCTCGGTGTATCCTCTTTTATGTTTTTCTGTTCTCTCTTGCTCAAATTCAAATATGCTTGATTGGCCAAAGCAAATAATTATCTGCTTTATCGTCATTTTTTGGTTTTTACCAAATCGTCCATTTATGCTGTGGCCTTCTATTTTCTCCCAGTCTTTTCCTTGCTGAGGCTTTCTCCAACTCTGAGCACCCCATGCTTGGTGCCGTTTCCTGCTTCTCTCTTTTCCTCCATGTCAGCCTGTTCTTTTGTACTACCTCTGCTGTTGGCTGCACACTTCTATGAGCTGGTCTAGAATCTTCTCTACTACCTCCCTGTAGTCAACTCTCTATTTGTCGGCTACCTCTCTAGTCAACTACAGTCTCTCTTTCCCTCCACTCGCCAACTCTTCCTCCTCTCTCTAAGCTGTTTCCTTGTCTCTGCTGTGGACAAGCTTATGATTTTATATTAAATTGATCTCCACTAGTCCATCTTCACAGTCCATACTGGTTGGGCCGTGTGTTATTCAGCAGTATTGGTGAAGCTGGTTTCGTGCCACGAGGACAATACACCAATGCCAACGCGTGTGAAATCTCTACCCCAGCACTGTATCAATGGATATCTGGCCTGCCATTTCACAGTCCTGAGTCATGCCAGGCATATACAGTACGTCGTTCATAACCCTTTGACTCTATGTGCAGCATTTCCTTGGCTTGGACTAAGGCTACCATGGTAGCATATGCGTACACTACCGTAGCTGTAGACTTCTGGTCATTGCGCTAACGCTAGTTAGCATTGGCTCTTGAAACGACCTCTAAATTCCTTCATTCTGCATGCAGAGGCAAAAATGGTATCCACGAGTTCATCTGACTCTGGGTAAGTAGAAAAACAGCTTAATTGCCAGAATCTCGCAGTATCCTTTTAACTGGCCTTTTTCAATCACAACCTTAATTACGTGCACAGTCAAGTCAAGACTGTTTTAGTTGCTGTAAAAACACCACTGGTTTCCACTGAGTCATCATAAACATGGAAGTTTCTCACAAACACATATCACCACCACTGTCTTAAAGGATGCAGGATGTAGAGGTCACTCCTGAGAAGGGAGAACACTTTCAGCATTTACAATCAATGTTTTGATATTGTTGCGTTAGCAGGGATGCTAACAAGTTACCAAACGGTGAAATTGGCTATCTGTAGCTAGCTTCATTTAACCTTTTATTGATCCATTGTCGCTCAGCTGCATACTCTAGTCATCATCATTAGTTACTAAAATAATGTCTTAATACTCTGTCCACTGTGTATGCTGTAAAACGCACAAAATGTTTATCATAGAGGTCAATATCTTGGTAGCTTTTTGCTGGAGTTGTGACCTTGGAGTTCCAACGTGTTTGGCTATTCAGTCAAGCTAAGCTCTTTCATCATTTCAATTTGCAAACAAACAAGCAACTGTAACCCGAGCCAACGACCAGCCTTGCCCGAGTTCGCTCTGGAAACCAATTGATCATGTCAGACCATTTACTTTTCTGGTTTTGTACTCTGTGCCAAATGTCCATTCAATTATATATTGGTTATGGCGATGATGATCTCAGTGGTAGCATTTCTACTAGAGACTTAGACTGGCATGTGTCAGTCAGTCATTGGGACTTCAAATGTATTGGCTTTTGTCATCGAGTGGTATGGTATTATAAATGCTTCAAAGTGCGGTTCTTGGTACATGTTTTTATTTATAATGGTTATGGCTACAGGACTGTGGTTATAATATTGGATCTTTGAAACAACACTCAATAACACTCCTTCCCTGTTCACTAACTGTTATAATGGCTGATGGACCTTTTGTTGTATTAAAATATATTATCATGGTCAAATACTGAAGAATAAAATATGGGAAAAAGTGTGTGTTTTGACCTGTGTTCTCTCAAAAGGGGTAGACTGCATTAAACAAAATTAAAGGCATGATTAAACACACATTGTTTCATTTTTCAGGGGTAGGATGAGTGGTGCAGCATCTGTTGAAAGACCAATGTAGACTACGCTAACCATAAATGTAGATTACTGAATCATCCATTATTTAGTATGTTTGGTCATAACTATTTTATGAGTAAATACATATGACCATGGATTTGAGTTGCTTCAAAATAAGCTAATATTCCCCTACCCTTTTAATGTGTGCCTGAGTTTAGTGGTGAAAAAGGCTCTCTTACACACTAGTCATGTTTGTATATATTTGTGAGGACCATTTCTTTCCTGAATGGGCCAGGTTTCTGAAAAGCAGCTTAAGGCGAAGTTCATCGTTAGAACCATAGGATCCTATTGTTCTAAGATGAAGTTAGCCTTCAGCTGCTTTTTGGGAAACAGAGCCCAGGTGTGTGTGTGACACACTGCTCTTTTATTTGTGGCAGGTGCGCACAGGAGACCTGGGGGGCTATGCCACAAGCGACGAGTTCACCAGAGCTGTCATCGCCAACCTAGCCGTCTGAGCTAGCCTCTCAAACACACACTTTTCTTTATTTACCTCCCTTCAAACTAGTCTCTCTACATTGACCACTCAAACAGCCGCGCAACAGATGAAATCCTCCTGACCCATGCTCAACAACAGCTAACACCCACAGACTCAAACCCAGAGGAGTATACATAAAATATGTAAAATACGCACAATGAAATTGAGGACCTGCTACATAAATGAGAAGCCAATATGGGGACGACACATTCAGTCTTGTAAACAATACCAAAATAAATGTTTTCCCATTCAACAGTACAGTTATATAGAACATGTAAGTCACATTCCACATTCAGTACCAGAGTGTTGTTCTTCAATGACTGGAACTTGTTTAGATATTCATACAAGATACATCTACTATATCAGTATATTATTTTATTTATTCACTACAAGTGTTATATGCATTATTGATTTGTTCATGCATAAATAAACATTACTATATCTGATACTTTGCTGTGTGGAAAATTGATGTTAACATCAAATGTGTTGTAATTGAATATATTGACTGATAATAGTGCAGACAAATGTAATTGTTTTTTATTCATTTAGGTGTTGCATAAATATTGAATTGCAACAGCGTGATGCTGTGTTTGAAACAGTTTTGAACTTCCAGTAAAATTAATATAAATCTTGCAAACATTTAGTAATCTGGAAGTTCCAGAAATTGACACCTTTTACAGAAACAAAGCTGATTGGGACAGTGCTGTTTTACATCTTCAAAGTTGTGTCAGAGAAACATTTACACCCTAGTACAGGGGTACTCAACTCTTACCCTATGAGGTCTGGAGCCTGCTGGTCTTCTGTTCTACCAGATAATTAATTGCACACACCTGGTGTCACAGGGTTAAATCAGTCCCTGACTAGAGGGGAACAATGAAAAAAATTTAGTGGAACTGGCTTTGAGGTCCAGATTTGAGTTTGAGAGCCCTAGTAGTTTTGGTAAAGCCTCTTGCAGTGGTTCACCCTCCAACCATGGTCCTATTAGAGGGTGCAGGCTTTTGTTCTAGCACTACACCTGAATCAATTGAGTATCAAGTCAAAAGACCTTGATTAGTTGAATCTGGTGTGGTAGTGCTGGGCTCAGTGGGCTGGAGCAACAGCCTGCACCCACTAACAGGACCAGGGTTAGTGACCACCACTGGCCTATGTTGACAGCAAGCTGCTGTTGTAAACTTAATGGGATTGTGTGCCCAGGCAGTCTATGGGCAATTAATAAGCCCGTCCAATATTAGTTGTTTAAACAGGCAGCCCAAATCTGATATTTTTTCCACTAATTGGTCTTTTGACCAATCATATGAGATCTTTTATCTTTTGCAGATCTGATTAGTCAAAAGACCAATTAGTGAGGAAAAAAAGATCAGAATTGGGCTACCTGTGTGATAGATGGTGGAGTCATGCGCTTCTGGATAGGGCTGCTGTTGTTGACTCGGTCTCGTGACGATGTCACAGATTCACCGCCAGATGTCGCATCGGCGCTATGGAAGGAGGGAGGGGCCTGGGAATTCTTTGATTCCCATTCCTCCTAGTGCAGACAACATGGCGGACTAAAAGATACGGCTGACTCGCCCGGATACAGCGAATAAACAGTGGGATTCACGTCCCCTATGCTCAAGGAAGACGGAGAGACCCCAATTTGTTAGGAACACCCTCGGGAACATTGAGGAATTTTTGGGACCGTTTTAGTCACTCGTTAACATAAACAGACTTGCGATCTGTTGCCTCTCCAAATTGGCCGTCTGTCTCAGTTCGTTCCTATTACCCAGGCCCCCACACACTTGGTTCCTGGGGTGTGAAGACAGGGGCCGGGGTTAAGAACGTGGAAAAAGGAAGAAAGGAATTGCACAATTGTAAATATTCAGGATTGTGCTAAACCAAACGGAAGTCGTGGTGAGTTTTGTTTATGTTCTTCTGTAAATTGTCACTAGTTACAGTGTAGCGTGCTTCATTTTGTTGTAATAAGGTCAGAATACTTGGTCACACAAACAACCACTTTTGGTTTGTCCCACACATTATCATAGCAAAGTATTCCACGGCTAACATCGAGATAAGGCAGAGAGGTTAGCGGGGTGATTTTTATATAACGTTCCATGGCTATCATCATGGGAGCTCACCCAATGATGTTTGTAACGACACGAACATTCACACAACTAGCTTGGAGGCAGGGAGTGACATTTTTTCGAGGGGGGTGGCGAGAGAGGGGGAGAGGAAGAGTGTCGGCATAATTTTTATTGGAAGTCCATATGATAGTGTGTTCTGTGAACGTATACATTGTAACAATGCGAAATAGAAACAATGGGCGGTCCAGTGAGTGCTACCTCACTGAAAAGTACATATTGATCAATGCTTTGTTGCCGGGGTGGGGGTGTTAGGGGGCTGAGTGCGACCACAGCCCAGGAATTAGATCGCTTTAGACAGCCAGGCCCCTTCAAATCACAGCAGATAGTCTTTATTTAGTCTCGACAAGCATCATACTGCTTGACCCTGCCTCGCACTCCCCATTTCCTCTTCTAATACTAATTATTCTGGCTTGACTGGATCCTGAGTGTACTTAGTCAAGCCTAAATATATTTATGCAAGTAGGTTTGTTTAAAAAAGTTTGTTTCAGGGCAGGCCCTGAGTATTTGCATACCACATACTGTAGCGTCCTCAATTATCTAATACATAAAGGTGAATGAACATGGAAAAGACATATGGCAAAGCAGGAGTCATCCAGGAAAATTTGCCACATTCTGTCAGTTTACCTTTTGAAACTAGGGACTTTATGAAGCTGGAGACAACTTTCATTTGATGCCATTTGTGTTGCATCATTAGCCTATATCTGCAGCAAAGCTTGAGAATGTAGTGCAACTTGAGTCTTTATTTCATTATCATTAGACCTGACTCAGTCATGGTGCAAGTGGAGACAAGTTCTATGTATAGAATATGGCCGACACATAGAATATGGCCTGCTGCACAAAAGCTTTATTTATAAAAGCTACATGTATGCTCACAGTCGGTCACAGACAGCAACATGGATAACATTCTCAACAGCTTACAGAAGAAAACAGAATATGGTTTTGAGTATTTAGGTGAAAGAGGATAACATCAGTGTGATTACATGGTCAGATATCAACATTATGGCAAGAAAGGAAGGAATGAATTAAGAAAGGCTAGATTGACAACGGCAATACTACGAGTTTGGCGTGTCATCATATCATAAACTCGTCATGTCTGGACTGCTTCAGAGTGAGCGGTTGCATTGGTCTCGCCTCACTATGTTATTAGTGCGCTAGTCCAGAATGCAGTTTCCTCTCCACCGAGCTCGGTTTGTCATGTCTTGACTATACAAGTGCAAAGCAGAAGCTGCTTGCCTCGATCTGACATTGACTCGTCAGACCTGGACTGCATGCGGACAGGACTGCCCCGACCCCGGCTTGTCATGTCTGGGCTCGTCACAGTCTAGTAGTGATGGATGGAGGGGGGGTCGATACAGGGTCATTCCACCTATAAAAAACACACCTTTTTTCTGTAGTTAGAAACAGATAAGATTAGCATTCCTAAAACATAATTTTTTTGAAATATAATTTGATCTCTGAGAAATTAAGCTAATTGATTGCTTTCATGGAGGACTGGCTTGAATTGTAAAGTAATCCTTCTACCCCCCCCCCCCCCCAAAAAAAAATATAATAATTGTAAAGTGGTTATCCCACTGGCTATAGGGTGAATGCACCAATTTGTGAGTCGCTCTGGATAAGAGCGTCTGCTAAATGACGTAAATGTGCCCTTGAGCAAGGCACTTAACCCTAATTGCTCCTGTAAGTCGCTCTGGATAAGAGCGTCTGCTAAATGACTAAAATGTAAAATGTAATGTAAAATGTTGTAAGGATGACCACACCATTTATTTTCATCGGTTTTCTACCCAAAGTTGCAAAGGAAATGTTGTGAACTATATGTCACTGTTCCTACTACTAACACATCAGTGGAGGCTAGTGGGAGGAGCTACAGGAGGATGGGCTCATTGTAATGGCTGGAATGGAATAAATGGTACAGAGTCAAACATGTGGTTTCCAAATGTTTGATATTTGATATCATTCCATTAATTCCATTCCAGCCATTACAATGAGCCCATCCTCCTGTAGCTCCTCCCACTAGCCTCCACTGATGTGTTAGTAGTAGGAACAGTGACATATAGTTGGCAAAACCTGGTACTTTCACACTAATTTATGGTAAATAATGCAAGTGACTTTAATGGCTAATTTACCAGAAAAGGGGGAAAAAAACATCACAAGATTCACAGGCAATTCCCAGCCCTAGTCTCTATGTGTAAGAGCAACTGGGCCTCCTCGCAACAGCTGGGAGATTCAGGTGAAGATTTTGGGAAAGGGACTTGATTCTACCATGTCTCTATGTATCTAAGATGGCTCATAGAACTTTGTTAATTTAGCCTAGTATTTCCACCAGAAAACTGAAGACGTAGGCTACTTTATAAGGGACAGACCAGCCTGTATGATTGGTGGGTGTTTCTAACCACTGGTAGGCTATGTTGGGACATTTCTCAATACTGAAACAATACAGTGAAAAATGCTGTTTGGGTGGGCATTGGTGGGGTGTGGGAGGCAGACGGGCAGATAATCTGTTTCCACCAGTGTGGCCTAACACATGGAAGATCATTTCTCAATGAGCATGGTTACATGCACACAATAATGTGATTATTGTGGATAGTCAGGTTAACATAATAGTTTCCCTAATAATTATGTTTACATGCATACATCTGAAATCAGGCTACTGATGGGACTTTTAATAAATGCAGAAAATCGGCAATCAAAATCAACGTTCTACCTCAGTGGCCATGTTATGGATTCTGAGTTTGGACATATAAAAGTGTATGTGAAAACTATAAGATGCATGCGTTTCCATTTTTCCAAACTCACTTCACTCGCGCATAAGAGGGGAGCTTGCGCTACCCGGTGCTGGTACATGCGCAGATCAAATACACCGCTGGAACGCTGATTAAACTGTTTACGTGTCCTAATAATTAGAAAGATTGCTCAGAAGACCAGGTGTTTTAATCGGTGTATGCTTACTTCAATTAAGATAAGCATAGTAAGGTGTTTACATTACTATTTCCATAATCAGTTTAATATCAAATTATTAGTGTGCATGTAAACGTACTCAGTTTTACTGCATTGCTGCATGTGTCCCATGAGATGGCATCAATCGATATTAGGAGGAGAGCAGAAAACCTGTGTAGAGATTATGTAAAAAAAAAAATTGTACTGCAGATGTAGGCTAATGTATTATTGTATTTTTCCTCAGTGCAGTTGTAGCATAGGTTATATTTCATTACTATAGTGACTGAAAGTGGTGGAAAGATGAAAACAATTGCCTAATTGGAGAAACAAGATAGAATCTTCCAGTTGCTTCCCACTTTCAACTCAAGATGTGTAGGATAACACCAGCGTTGTTAGG